CTCGTATCTTTTTCTGTTTTTTTTTTTTTGCACCAATACCCAAAAAATCATCAAGGGAATGCCGGACGTGGTCGTTGGTCCCTCAACATGCGAAAATCTTTTTGCCTTTATCTTAGGATGTGACACCACCTCCCGTCCCTTTCGATTAGGCAAGACCTTGTTCTTTAATAGAATAAAAACAACTATGCTTTGATGAACAAGCCAAAATGGTCAGGAACTCATTACCAACTGAGGAGAAAAAGAATTATTACAGTAGGGGAAAGGTCACTGGTATGCCTGTATGGCGGTGACCACGGTGAAGATCTTTTATCATCTTCACTGCAGACGATTCTGTGAAAAGGTGGCACGACACATGTGGAGCTACAGTCCCTGCTTCCTACATAGTGTGCTGCAAAATACCACAGCCTCCGTGTCTACTTCCAGATCATGGACTGGAAAAGACAAATTTGCGACTACAATCCTGAGAAATTTGGTTGGTCTGTAGTAGCCACCTGCTCCACCAGAGCTTTTTTAGATGTGATATGCTCTAGGAGTTAAATTGAATGTAGCACAAAGCGTTTCACTTACCGCAAGTACAGTTTACGCTGCACACACTTATGTGGACAATGTCCTGGATCTAGTTGCACTAATTCACAGCCGAAAGATTTTGATGAATAAACAGGTTGATCAACCGTATCACGTCATTGTTGTCAATATTATTCATAATAGTGTGTGTAGGTAATAAGATTACGTACCTCTGTAAACTTTAGACTTTAAGTGCTAGTCATCATATTGTAATTATATGTGGATTTAGTATTTTCCTTAAATAACTTCACTTAAAATGTTTTTTTTTTCATATCTTATTTTTGGATAACACACCTGTATTGGCAGAATGTGTGCGAAGATGAGAAAACAGGATATGCGTTTGACAGCCATATTGAATTTATGCAAATTCTGCATATTTCCCGAGTAAGGATTCTTTAGAACTATTAGTAAATTTCTGTTGGACCCTTATAGAAATGCATTATGGCAGAATATATTATATTGCGTTTTTTTTCACTTCACTTCATATTTTGACTGGCTTATAAGGCGTCAGCATAGTATCAAGAATGTTACCGGAGGCGCACACCAACCAAATATACGAGGCAGCATATAAGCGTATGATGAACTTAACGGCATTCTTGAATCTCAACAAAGTCACTCCGAATCTTGTATTTGACGTTCTTCAAGCCGTTCATCGACTATGTAGCACCAGTGTGGAGCATGCGCATCATCAAGGATATACAGAAGCTCGAGAATATTGCAAAGTTTCCAATTAGACTAGTCCCCGTGCTGATGAAAATGCAGGGTGAAGAGGGCTAATATTTAACATACTGGAGGAGCGAAGAATCGGGGATGTAATCACGGAAGACGACAAAGACTGACTGAAACGAGAGGAATAACAAGGCGGCGTTGATGGATGCTGATTATCCAAGTTAACTAAACGTTCTCTCATTCTCTCAACCCCCTTGTAGATATTTTGTCTCGTCCAGTTTCTTTTATTCTTACATAATTTATTATTTATTTGTGTGTACTCTCCTGTATGTACATACGTGTGTGGTTGACGGGGTCGAGTATTAGCTACTAGCCAGCATATCAACTTCTGTTTTTCAGATTCACTGCCTCATAGCCTCGTGGGCCCGTTATACCTGCTCTTAATTTTTTTGTATGGATGCAACCTCCACTATTTTTTTTTATGTCCGGGTCATTCCACTTCCCGACTACACACCTGAAGGGTTACTCCCTCTACAGAGTATGAGATACAGTCACCAAATAGGCGTCGAATAACAGTCCTTGGAGAGGATGCTGTAACTCACGATATCCTCAGAACTTTAAGGCAAGTTCCTGATAACTCTTTGTGAGCATTATATAATGTTAGTTACACTGAGGGGTGTTCTTCCTATTTCCTGGACCAGTAGTCTCGTGCATATTCCCAAGCCGCAACTGCCTGATACATTTAAACCAAACTCCTTAAGCAGTTGTCTTTGTACAACATTTGAAAGAGTGATACTCAGTAGACTATACTTCATCATCAAACACCAATGTTCACCTCATATCGATGGGTTTTATGAAAGAAGAAAAATGCGCAAAATTGCTTTACCACCTTTCTCACTTCCACACAATTGTTGATCTTAAATTTGCATCTGATATCGCAGATCTCTTATGCTGCGTGAACTAACCGAATGAACATTGGTAGTAACCTACTCAGTTGGAAAATAGGTTATCTGTCGGTGATTCAGACACCAGAGACCCCAGGAAAAGTGATCACGGTCACACCAGAGACCCCAGGAAAAGTGATCACGGTCACACCAGAGACCCCAGGAAAAGTGATCACGGTCACACCAGAGACCCCAGGAACAGTGATCACGGTCACACCAGAGACCCCAGGAAAAGTGATCACGGTCACACCAGAGACCCCAGGAAAAGTGATCACGGTCACACCAGAGGCCCCAGGAACAGTGTTCACGGTCACACCAGAGACCCCAGGAACAGTGATGACGGTCACACCAGAGACCCCAGGAACAGTGATCACGGTCACACCAGAGACCCCAGGAACAGTGATCACGGTCACACCAGAGACCCCAGGAACAGTGATCACGGTCACACCAGAGACCCCAGGAACAGTGATCACGGTCACACCAGAGACCCCAGGAACAGTGATCACGGTCACACCAGAGACCCCAGGAACAGTGAGACGGCACACCAAACCCCCAAAATGATGACGGCACACCCGAGACCCCCCGGAACAGTGATGACGGGCACACCAGAGACCCCAGGAACAAGGGTGACGTCACACCAAGACCCCAGAACAGTGATCACGGTCCACCAGAGACCCCAGAACAGTGATCACGGTCACACCAGAGACCCCAGGAACAGTGATCACGGTCACACCAGAGACCCCAGGAACAGTGATCACGGTCACACCAGAGACCCCAGGAACAGTGATCACGTCACACCAGATGACCCCAGAATAGTGATCACGGTCCCCACAGAGGCCCCAGGAACAGTGATCACGGTCCAACCAGACCCAGGAACATGATAGGTTCACACCAAGACCCCAGGGAAAAGTGATCACGGTCACACCAAGCCCCAGGAAAAAGTGAAACACGGTCACACCAAGACCCCAGGAACAGTGATCACGGGCACACCAGAGACCCCAGGAACAGTGATGACGTCACAACCCGAGACCCCAGAAAAAGTGGGTGACGGTCACACCAAACCCCAGGAACAGTGATGACGGTCACAACCCAAAACCCAGGAACAGTGATCACGGTCACACCAAGACCCCAACAGTGATACGTCACACCAGAAAACCCCAGAACAGTGATCACGGCACACCAGAGACCCCAGGAACATGATGACGTTCACACCAAGACCCCAGAACAGTGATCACGGTCACACCAAGAACCCCGGAACAGGATCACCGTCACGAAACCCGGAACAGTTGATCCCCGGTCACACCCGAGACCCCAGGAACAGTGATCCGGTACACCAAAAGACCCCAGGAACAGTGAATCACGGCACACAAGAGCCCAGGACATGATCACGGTCCACACCAAGACCCCAGGAACAGTGACCCGGTCAATCAGAGACCCAGGAACAGTGATCATTCACAATGACCCAGGAACATGAGACGGTCAACCAGAACCTCCCAGGAACAGTGATGACGGTCCCCACCAAGACCCCAGGAACAGTGAGACGGTCACACCAAGACCCCAGAACGGATGACGTCACACCCGAGCCCCAGAACAGTGATGACGGCACACCAAGACCCCAGGAACATGATGACGGTCACACCAAGAGACCCCAGGAACAGTGAACGGTCACACCAAGACCCCAGAACAGTGAAAAAAAACCGGTCACACCAGAGACCCAGGAACATTTTAAAGACGGTCACACCAGAGACCCCAGGAACAGTGAGACGGTCAAAAACCAAGACCCCGGGAACGTGATGAGGTCAAAACCAAGACCCCAGGAAAGTGATGACGGTCACACCAAAGCCCCCAGGAACATTGATGACGGTCACACCAGAGCCCCCCAGGAACGTGATGGGGCCCACACCAGAGCCCCGGGAAACAGTGAGACGGTCACACCAAAGCCCCCAAAGGAACAGGATGACGGTCACACCAGAGCCCCCAGGAACAGGGGATGACGGTCAAAACCAGAGACCCCAAAGGGAACATTGATAAACGGCCCACACCAAAAACCCCCCAGGAACAGTAAAGACGGAAACACCAAAACCCCCAAAAACATGATAAACGTCCACCAAGACTCCGGGAACAGTGATCACGGTCACACCAAGCCCCCGGGAAACCCAGTGATCCCGGCCCTTTCGAGAGACCCGGGAAAACAGTGATCATGGTCACACCAAGAGCCCCCAAAGGAACGTGATCACGGTCAAAAACCAGAGCCCCCAGGAACAGTGATAAACGATCACACCAAAGCCCCGGGAAACAGTGACACAGTCATCCCCAAAGACCCCCGGGAGAAATGATCAAAATTTAAATGGACACTGCAATTACAGCAGTGAAGGGCGGTTCTTATTTCAGATCCCTTTCCCTTAGTGTCTTGCCAGTTTTCCTTGCCCCGCGTGTCCACCCCCCTCCCCCTCTTTCCCTATGTGCCCTTAATGCCCACCCTATTCATTTTCATATGACAATAATGGCACAACGAGTGGTGAACGTTCAAATTTGAACGTTAACTGTTTTATCTCAGCCACCTCGTTGCCAGACGTATCGGTTTTTAAAATTGCTTATTTTTAGTTAAATATACGTTTTTGTGGACTTGTAACCTAACCTGACATAAATTAACATAATTTACCTTAGAGAATAGGATTTGGCTTAACTGGAATCGTTAAGACGTTAACGTTTTGTACTGCGTTAAAATTTGGACATATTAGAATGAGGATGGGTTGGACTTACTGGCGTAGCGGCAGTGAAAATGGCGGCGGTGCCATGGAGGTGGCACTGGGCGAGAGCAGAGGTGCCCAGTATAGTGAGCAGAGTGAAGGTGCCAGTCCGTGTTCCATCGCCCCCGGAGATATAACGTATACTCTTACTCCCAAGACTAACTCAGTCTTATCGTTACTCCCATGGGCACCCCTGGCACCTGCTGGATAACCCCTGGCACTCGTCTGGCATCGGGGTGAAGGTTTCCAGAACTGGGTCAGTCAGTAACTCAGTTTGGTGCACGAGGGAGACGCTGATGTGGGCTATAAGGTGCTGAGGCAGTGATCACAGTGGTGGCGATCACGGTGATGAAGTGGTTACCACAGTGAAGTAGCAATCACAGTGGTGACGGTATGATGTATGGGTGATGTGATGATCTGTGATCAAGAGATGGGATGATGATGTTACAAAGATACTCTTGTGATTTCATTAAGTCAGTATGTGCGAGATGAACACGATCACTAGTCGCACTGATGGCTCACAACACCTCTCGCAGTAAGAAAGAATTGAAAATTTTGAACATTTCAAGTAATCTATATACTTAATGTAATCTAATATTTGAGAAAAAATGTAACAAGTCAGTGTATATGTGATGAATTTTTTTTTTTTACTCCCACCTAATGTTTAGTGTACAGTGGAGCTTTATAATACTGCCTGGTTATATGGTTTCAGTAGGCAGTATTATTTTTAAAATGTTCAAAATGCCACACGGTGTTACTTGCAAGAAATATCAACTATGTTAGAAACTTAGCAAATATAATAATCACTGTGTAAGGCAAAGGTTATAATTACTGTTGTAGAGAAGTTATACACACTTGCGGAGAGATTTATGTTTATGTGGTTTCCGTGAAGGTCAAACCAAGGCAGCTCGGCTTTCAAGAAATAAGTTAGAAGTATAATTGGTGTCCCACGAGCAGTGTTTACTCACATGGAGTGTGGGACGACAAGTTGGCTGAGCTGTGTTTACCCACACAGAGATGTTTACCTAGCATTACCAGGAAGGTGTAATTATTAATCAGCCGGATATAAAACACAGCTGATCGACCTGGTATGCAGCAGCTGCTCCAGTTATGGTGACTTAGAGACACGTCAAAGGACGTCCTTGACATCGAAAGACAACGATTTGCAGATGCCTACCCAATGAAGGGAGGGAGGTTAAAAAAGAAAGCGGCATTAAGGCTCTGCATCGTCAGCCCAACTCAAGAGACATTGGCAAACTGCTAATGAGGGAATAACACTGTAAACACAAACATAATCGGCTGCCTTCGACACTGCTTAAAGAACAAGATAACTTTACCGTAAGCTCTAGCACGCTCACCCCACCCACATATACCATGTTGGGATAGAGGAAAAGGCAGAGGATATGTGGTGTTTCCCCACCTCCTCCATACCTCACCACCAGTTCCTGCACAGCACTGGATATACGAAGTAGTTAGTGAAAGTAACTTCGGTTGGTGTGTTGTACTGGTGCTTATTTTGGTGGGCGTCGAGGCAGAGACCAAAATATCTTGGAGACCGCTGGGGCTGCAACCACCACCAACGTCCCAGTGCAAGGTAAATCACTCTCACTCTCTCTCTCTCTCTCTCTCTCTCTCTCTCTCTCTCTCTCTCTCTCTCTCTCTCTCTCTTCTCTCTCTCTCTCTCTCTCTCTCTCTCCTCTTCTCTCTCTCTCTCTCTCTCCTCACACACACACACACACACACACACACACACACACACACACACTCACACTCACACTCACACTCACTCACTCACTCATATGCATTTGCTTTATGCCTTTCAGTTAGCAGAATAAACGTAAGTTTCAATGATTATTGAGACTAAGATATTCTGTTCTTGATACACACACTGCTACATTATATATCCTGTTCTTGATATACACATTACTACGTTATATATTCTGTTATTGATACACGCACTACTACATTATACTGTGTGTCGGTGTATGTTACACAAATAAGTAGCTCTATGGTGTGCATCAGAGGAAGTGAACGAGCTAAAAAAATAGGGATGGAAATCTCCAGAAAATTTGCCTCAGTCTGCTCTCAATGTTATCAAATATTGAAGCTTACAAACTGCTTGGCTGCATCAGGCGGACACCATCACCAAGAACAACAGTATTTTACTCAGCACCATAACAAAAAGTTGCACCGATAGACGTGCCAGAGCAAACACACCCACACCCACATACAAGGTGAGGGCAAACTGGACACAGAGTACAGCGTGGGTGGAATGAGCTGCAAATATCACGGTGTAAATGTCCTGGAGATGAATATAACACCAAGCATATCACCAGGGATTAATATAAACTACTTAACATCAGAGGCAAAGTTCAGAGTAACATTCATGAATGCGGAACGCTCGAAACTGTCCAAAGGTTTGCAACCAGGCTACTACCAGAACTAATAGGGCTGCACTAGAAAGCGAAGTTGAAGGAACTGAACCTGGTGACCTGGGTGGAGAGGACAAGAGACGTGATAACATTCAAAAGTTGAAGGTGAAGTGATAGGGCAAAGAAGCACAGACTGAATTAAGATAGCCAAGATCAAAGGGACACAAGTAGAAGTTGAGGACACAGATGAGTCATAAGAATGTAAGGAAGCATTTCTTAGTCTCAGGGTGGATGAAAACTGAAGTAACTTTCCTGAAGACAGATGAGCCATATGAATGTTAGGAAGTACAGTTCCTTTAGTCTCAGGGTGAGGCCAGAAGCCAGTGATGCCAATCAAAGTATTCTAGGAAGTGCTGATTCAGGAGCTGATTCCAGACATCCCGCAAGCACAACTAAGTGAGGACAACTTTGTGAGTATACCCTCTGCTCCAGGGCGCTTTTCCACTCTGGTTTCACGTTCATCAGTATAAGCTGAAATCAAAGAAAATTATTGTACCTGGCTGGGTGAAACTCGAAGAGTAAATGAATGGGTATCCCAAAGACAAATAAAAAAGAAGGGGGAGATGTAGAGGATGTGGGTGGCCAGTGCAAGACTGAATACCAGCTGGATTTAGACACAAGCTGGAAGACTGGGACAGAGTAGAAAGGGAGAAAAAACAGGTTGCAGAACCTCAGCAGCTAGGGTTACATCATGCAAAAACTCAACAAACTCTTCTCATGTCCCAAACACAAGAACCCAAAACCAATCAAATCCAACCCCCCCCCCCCCGTACCTCACTCTCCTACACCCACAACCTTAACTCCCTTCTGGTATCAGAATATTCCCCACAGTTGCCCCGTACCCTAACCCCCAATCACGATCTCCCCTCTCTGTCCTCTTATAACTCCCTGACCCATAAGAAAGAACCAAGAAAGCAAAGACACCAAAAACTAGGACACCGTAAAAGAAAACTAAAAGTGTGGCACACAAATATAGATGAGATAGAAAACAAGAGTGATAAGTTTAATGTGTGTGTAGCAGAACCATCCCCAGACATCATGGCACTCACAGAAACAAATAAATGGATACAGCAGATGCAATTTTCCCAGCTGGCTATCAAATTCTAAGGAGGGATAAAGGATATAGGGAAAGGGATAAATAGTATTACTAATTAGAAAGCAATAGAGTTCTGAGGAGATGAAAGAAATAAACGGAGGAACGTCAAATGCCTACATAATAGGCACTCAAGACTTGGGCACTTAAGGCGGTGATAGCAGTGATGTGCAACCCACTACTAAACAGTAGACCAAGACAGGAATATATGTGGTAAACATAACAAAAGCAAATGTACTGATGCAAATCTACTGATCATGGGATATTTTAACAGCAAGGAAACAGACTGGGAGAATTAGGATGACTGGAAACTTTATGTATCAAAATTTCAGTCACAACCAGAAAGAGATAGATGAACTAGCAAGGTTAGACCTAGTATGTACCTTAAGCAAATCTGATGTAAGCTAAAGCAAATATGAGAGGGCCCTGGGTGCTGGCAACTAGTCTACTGAATTTCGAACATCCTGTGGAATAAAACATGGAGAGAAACAATGCAGGAAGGCTGAGAGAAACCACCTCTTCAAGGGGGGCTCCTTGACATTGCGAAGAGGCTCTTGGTCTCAGGAATCAAATCCTTTGGTCTCCTTCCTTCGACTGAGCCTAAGTACCCCCCAATCCTCCCTCCCCTATCCCATCCTCCCCATCCCCCCTTTTTTCCCCATTTCCTCCCCTTGTTTCCCATCCCATTGGTTGGCTCTGGGGCTCTCCCCTCTGGCATTACAGTTTCTAGGTAGGGGTGGCATGCGGGGTTCGTCCCACTCTGTTGGGTCCCTCGGGGGTGGTGTGGTTTGCCATGGAATCTGAATTATCTGCAGGTGCCCTGCTCTCTTCCCGGATTTCCGGGAAGTGAGCAGGGTGCCCTTCGGGTAATGGGTGTATCTCCAGAAGCTACCTGTCGGTTCTGGGAGGTGGCAGCCAAAGGAGGTATGCTTTGTGGCAGATTTCTGACCGCCTTTTCTTTTGTCTGCCGAGGTAGCTTGGTTGATGTGAGGCTGCTATCCCAGAGCGTTGATTTACTTGTGTGAATGGTAGGATACGGCATGGGTTCCATGCTGCATCTTCACCACCAGTGAGCTTGAGGCCCTCTCGGATGATGTGGGAGCTTTCGACCCCTCCATGCCTCCTAGCGACTGTCCCTCCGCTTTCCCTCTTTTTTTCTTTTCTTTTTTTATTAAAATAACAAGAAAGGAGATATCACAGAAGAAGCACCTTTATTATGGAGTCTTCGCCCAGTGAAACCCTTCCTCCTTCCAGACCCCTTCCTGATTCCACACACTGTTCTGACCTGGATTCATTATCGGTCCATTCTCTCGACTCTTCTCATACCCCTGTACCTTCTGCCAGTGACACTTCGTCACCTGCTTCAGGTTCTGTTCATGCTGCTACTTCTAGCATGTCTTTCACAATGCGTCCAGCTTCCCTGAATACGGTACAGCGGTTTTCGGATCGCTCACCTCCCTCAGGTCAAACCGCCCGCAGTACTACTATTAAACGTCCAAGATGACCTACTGACGACAGTTCATCGATGATCGCTCAAAAATGGCCTACACAACGCTCACTACCGCTCACTACCTTTGTGTACCGGGCTAAGGAGTATGCAATGGACAAAATTCTTGTCTTTACAAACGACGTCTCAAACTGATTATCTTTCTGATCATGGAATTGGTAAAACTCTTTTACGGCACAGTGGCCAAAATATATCCTTCTATGCTCTTCCAAGCGTAGAAGGAGCAAGTTCATGCTCTCTCCCACATCACTTCCATAGATAACATACCAGTCACTGTTCATAAGCATGTTACTCTTAATTCTTGCAGTGGTACTGTGGCCTTACCGCGTACAATTATACAGAGTGATTTTTTGTCTTGCGGCGATATTTTAGAACAATTAACCCTGCAGAACCTCCCTATTCTTAAGGTAGATAAATCCTGTCCACTCGTAGGCAGAGGCGCTTTCCTAGTAACATGGCTTGTTTAACCTTCAACTGCCGTGAACTTCCGTCCTGTCTATATTGCAGGCCATCACTTAGAGGTCTATCAAGTAGTTCCCCACTAAACACTGCAGATTTGCAGTGCAGGTCTGCCCGGTCTGCGGTGCAGCAGATCATTCTACTACATCTTGCAGTCTTCAACCCTCTTGTTTCAATTGTAAGGAACCTCATCCATTTCACGCTGTTGCCAGGTCTATCGTAATGAACAGGAGATCTGTTATCTTAAGGAGCATGAGGGCCTTATACTATGTCTCTCTCAGCTCCTCCTTCAAGGAAAATTTCCTAGAGTCCCGTATGCTCGGGTAGCCGGAAGACCTCCAACCTCGATGGTCCTCCTGCCTCACAATCCCTCTACGTCCATGTCTTCCGGGGTCACTCCAGTTTCTAATTCTTTTGCGGTTTTATCCTCTGACACTCCTACCTCCGCACCACTTCCTACTTCTACTTCATCTTGCTCGCTTGCTTCTCAGTCTGCGAGACCTCGCAGACCTACACTTCCTTCGCGTCCATCACCTGTACAGAATCTATCTTCTACCTCAGAGCCTAGTTCTCACCCCCTTTCCAGCTCTCATACGAAGGTGGAGGTTCACCCCCTCGTGTAGTCCCCTCTTCCCCTGTTCCCCTCCCATCTTCCTCCATAGTTACCCTCCAACCTCCTTCCTCTCCTGTTACACCACTGGACTCTTCTACCTCAGCCAACGCATCTACCCAGGTTCATACTCCCCGTCCCCTTCAGACTTCTTCAGTTGCCTCCATAGTTACTCCGACCTGTACTTGCATTGCCTCTTCTATCTCTGACATTATGACATCGTTGGCTTCCTTAACAACTGAGATGTTAGACGCTATCTCCAGTTATATTGCAGAGACGACACCCCCTGGTGGACATCAACACGCCTCCTTCTACCCCTTCTATTTCACGACCCTTGCAACAATCTATTCCTCCGCAATATTCCAATTCTTCCTTGCTTACATGCTTTCTCAAGGTATGCATTCTCAGACATGCGTACTTACATACACCCATACAGTGTGTTTAAATCATGTTGCATGGAGCCATTATCGATATAATCGTACCACAGAGCATC